CCTAGTACTACCGGATGGCTGTGTTACTACTAGAGAGTTGTTTACAAGAGTGCATCTCCTAAGCTATACACTTTGCCACGACCTGTGTTCTTGTTTATCTTTTTATCTGACAGTGCTCTTTGTTCTGTGAGCGACAGTATTTTTGTTTCTTTCTTTTTACTTTCCAAAAAATAAACAAATCTTAAGAGACTTTGTTTTTTTTTGTATAGCAGCTACTGTTTTTTATTGTTACTGTTTTTCATTGCAAGTTTTCTTGGCAACAATATCGGAAAACACCTTCGCCTTGTCGTATGTATACTTACTTAACTTTCCCGTCAAAAAATATATCAAAGGATTTTCAAAGAGATTCTGTAAAAAAATAGAAATATCGTTTATTCTTCATATATACAGAAAACAATCTCATTACCGCAAACTTATTCACAAAAAACTATTTAAATAATTGCGCTGTTCTCCTTGTTAAACAAAAGAAAACACTTTTAACTTAATAAAACATGTCTTGATGCGTACGTCTTCTCGCAAAAAGAATGAAAACCGCGTTCCGCGGTCGCAACGAATACTCTTTCGTAGCTTTCTTCGCAGGAAATTTGCGATGAATCTCGAGATTTCATGGCGCCACTTTACAGCCGCGCACCATGAAAGTGCATCCTTTCGTGTTTTCTCTCGGCTTGGTTTGTGTGTGCTTTATGTATATGGTATGTGTGGCTGCATGTATGCGGTAGATACATTCGCGCGCAGTGACTCGGCGTTCGCGGAAATTTCACATAAAAAAATCAAGAGAGTAATGCGTGCAAAGACGAGACCAAAGAGAATTACACCGAGAAACTGACTGTAAGACGCCAATGTAAAATGCCGTACTACACGATCTCCCGGTGCACTGCAGTAAAAATGAACTCAAACTTATTGATCCTCTTTGCACATTCGATTGTCAATAGAATAGTACGTACGATAGTAGTCTTTCTCTGTCTCTCTCTCTCTCTCTCTCTCTCTCTCTCTCTCTCTCTCTCTCTCTCTCTCTCTCTCTCTCTCTCT